TGTGTGTGTGTGTGTGTGTCCATCTTAAAGAGAGAGAGAGTGATTCAGTGTACTGTATGTGTCATGATTGAGAGCGAGTTTACAGGCCTGTCTCTGTGTGTGTCCCGGGGGAGCCAGTCCTCTGAGAGGGGGTGAGTGAGGTTCTCATGAGAGGTCCATGACGAACACACTGTCTGTTCGCTTTGTGTATGCGTGTTACTTCATCCTGCTTACATGTACACAGCCCATAAAGCACTGGTGTCTGCTGGGAAGCCTGTGCTCGTTCTCTAAAGGAGGCCCTGAGACCTGCAGAGGTCCACCAGGAGGTTAGAGAGGAGAGGATTTCAGATGGAGTCAGAGACCTCAGTGAGTTCACAACACACAGATGCCTATTACAATTACTCACAGCCAAGGTGACATTTAGTCCAGAGATCATAAATTTACATAAATATTTAAAAAGATACTCAAACCTCCCTCTTCTGTTCATCTACTAATGATTAATCCACAATCTGGTTTATCTTGACTGTAAATTCAACAACTTGAATGATTCATAATTAAAACGACCGTCTCCTCAAGACTAAGACCCACTATCCAAGGAAGACTGCTGCACATACTGCATTCTGCTGCACAGTCACACGGCAGTATCTCAATTTCTATCTTATTACTCACGTTCTGGTTCTATTGTTATATTTAGATCTTACTGCTACACCCGCGCTCTGAGATTTCCTGAGGCTGCAGTGTCAAATTAGAATTGTTGATGCGTCAGTAGTCTAGTGGTAGTTGGAGTGTTCATTGTAATCTCTCCTAGCGTTTCCTGTCTAACACTATCCAAAAGCAAAATAACCAAAAACTGTTTTGAAAGCTTCTTAAAGCAGGTAGCTTCTTTTTTTTTTTTTAAATCTCCCATGAGCCAGCTTGAGCCTCTAAATTAAAACCGTGCATCCCTGAAGATGTCGGGGGAGGTGTGATGGACTATTTTAGGTCATAAAGAGTTCTGAGCACCGTAAAACGGCCATGACGGTGCCCGATGACGTGCATCGCAGCACAGAAGACTTGACACACTGATAGACAGCTCCCCCGGTCGATTCACTACAACATCCAGGAGTCATTAAGTAAGACATTTGGACCACGTGCAAACATTTGGGACTGAAAGACACAGCGAGGTGCAAATCGAAGCATTCAACAGTCACTAAATTTCACTTTAATGGGAGAATTAAGTAAAGCACTGGTGTGATAAGTAATGAAGTTAAAGTGTATTCAACAGACAGAAAAATGTCATATCGACATGGATAGATAATCTTTCAGATTATAAATGTGGGGCTTAAAGTAAAGTGTTGGGCTGTGGTTGATTAGCTATGATAATAAGAAGAATGGGACAGAGATAGTTAAAGTTTACACATTAAAGTGGTCCAGACAGGTCTTATAGACAAGGAAGAAGACTTCAGAGAGGACACACTGTAAACTCACTCAGTGTGTGTGTTGTGTGATCTAACCTGCCCCCCGGAAAATGCTGCTTTTGCTGGCCAGCCGTGCCCTGAGGCGTGTGTGTGTGTTTCTAACAGTGCTGATTTATAGTGATGTGTGGTGCTCTAAGGTTTCAGCCTACAGAAGTGTGTAATGGCTCTTAAACTGGCCGACACCCGATCGCCACGGATCATCTGCTGCCTGGCAGGCATCCACCTCCTCCAACACACACACACACACACACACACACACACACACA